TCAGTAATATATATATATATATATATATATATATATATATATATAAAAAAAACAACAACTTGAGGTGATGTATTTCTTCATTAAACGGCCATGGAAAATCACAGGGGAAAGTAATTTTGTAAATCTATAATATGAGTGCTTGTTGTATATTGGACAGAATTTAATGCACTGAACAGTCCGAAAATGATCTAAGATGATATATTTTGAACACAGTTCTGTTTTATGGTTTGCAAGTTGTCATATCATTCATTATCTGTTTCTGTTCAGGACTGCTCACATATAGATGAACACGGTATTGCAGCTGCCCTCCTTCCACTGGTCACAGCCTACTGCAGAGTAAGTTCACAACCAGCGTCACCAAATTCAGCCTTAACCACAGCTACGAACCCATTTAAATCCAGTGCTCCCTCCTGGTTTTACAATTCTGTTTTAGGTTGGCGGGATGTCTTTGTCTGAACATGCAAACTCCAATTCTGGATGCTCAGACATTTAAAGTGTCTTTTCTCCCTCATAAACATCTCGTCCTGTGTTTGTCTGACAGAAATTGGGCGCAGGCATTACACAGTTTGCCTACAGCTGCGTACAGGAGCACATGGTATGGACCACCATGCAGTTCTGGGAGGCCATGTTCTACAGCGACGTTCAGAGCCACATCAGAGCACTGTACCTGGAGACGGAGGAAGAAGAGCAGCAGAACCACTCTGTGAGCACATACCCTTCACTCGATATTTTACCAGAGCGAACAAAGAAATGATGAATGATCTTGCACATTGTAAAAAGGTTTTGGTGAATGTTTGGAAGAAAATCTGCCATCACAGCCAGTAGACTAATGAGTCAGTCTCCCAACCTGCTGAGATGATTAATCATTGACGAACCTCCTTTGATTTGTTGTCAGGAGCAGCAGGACGGGTCGGTCAGTGGGAGGGAAATCAGCGCCTTGGACCTGGCATCAGAGCAGAACCGGCTGTGGCCGACGCTCAGCAAGGAAATGCAGGCGGAGCGCGTGCAGAAGGAGGAAAGCACGGTGTTCAGCCAGGCCATCCACTACGCCAACAGGATGAGTTACCTGCTGCTGCCATTGGACACCAGCAAGAACCGCCTACTGAGGAGCTCGGGCCTCGGAGACGTGGAGAGCGTCAGCAACAGCTACGTCACAAACAGGTATGGACAGCTGGCGTCCATCATCGGGACTCAGACTTGATGGTATTCTTGTGAAACGAAAGAGTTTTAGTTAAAAAATGTAGAAACAGAAATGTTGAAAGCAGGTTTTTGTCTTGTAGTATTGCAGGCAGCATGGCCGAAAGCTACGACACAGAAAGCGGCTTCGAAGACGCTGAGAGCTCAGATGTGGCCAACTCTGTGGTGCGCTTCATTAACCGCTTCGTAGACAAAGTATGTAATGAGAGCGGCGTGACCAACGAGCACCTTAAGGCTCTCCACACCATGATACCAGGTATGGAGGCACCGAGACCTGCCACACTCACTGATCTCTCTGTGAACCAAACTTTACGACAAAATCTGTCACTTATATCTTTCTCCTTTATCTCTCTGTCCGTGTCTTTGCAGATATTGTTCAGATGCACATCGAGACGTTAGACGCAGTCCACAGGGAGAGCAAGAGACTGCCTCCGATCCAAAAGGTAACCAATTCCTATTTTTACGTTCCACTGGACAAAGGCCACGCAGAACCCCAGCCAGCCCCGTCCACTCCCCTCTCCACCAATCCCTACAGCTCAGGCTCACAGTGTCATGGCAGGTACGTCTGTCCGCCAGAGACAGAACCGTGTGACTCACGCACGCCTGAGCAGTGCATGCTGGGTGATTGCTCTCCATTGTTGTCTCCCGTTCTGTCTCCGAGGCCCGGCGGAGCTGAGTGCCTTCAGTCTGAAGGGTGCTGTTAGACCTGCGTGAAGTGTGTTGGAGAGGGACGGCGGCTAACGCTGAGTTTGATATGTTTTGTCATTTCACTAAAGACTTGTGAGTGGAACATGTAGATGCTCAGCCCCCCCACCAGCTCCCCCCGGTGATGTCTTTCTCTCTCCGTCGTCTCCCTGCCTCTACTCTCACAATGTCCCGTCAGCATTTTCTTGTGTAGCATGCAAGTCCTAGTGGATATGAGCTCATGGGCTGAGCTATAACACAGAAACAATTGTGTGCAGCTATTAGGGTCTCAGCAGTTAACTGCCTACAGAGGAAACTCTGCCCTTCTTCCGCTGTGTGACTGCAGCTAGAGTGCGGACATGTGTGACCATTAGGTGTTGTGTAACAGATTATGAAACAGGTCACCAAAGTTGTAATTCGTTTCCTATCAGAGGTGCAGTTCCTTAGGAAGCTCTCCAGGCCTCACTGGGTTGACAGGAAGTGATGTAAGGGCCCAGAGGACAAAGCCAGCGTCATAATTCATACTGCTGCTATTCCGAAAAGCCTAGAGTAGCAGAGAGTCCTGTAACCAAGCTCTGGATCCTCTGGGACTGTTCAAAACAGTATTTTTTTAAGAAATATGAAATTAACTTCCCATCACATAAACACACCCAAACGAATATTGTTATCTATTTCTTTTTGTATATTTATCTTTTTGTTTGTAACATTGTCTCTGCCAAGATCCCACCACTCCAGACCAACTGACGTGTGTGTTATGCAACAATAATACATTCAATAATCATTCAACATTAGCCTCTAAACTTCTCAAACAGTGCAGCCAGTAACCTCAGCATGGTTGTGGAAGCATGAGACTCTGATGAGTGGAGTGTGTGTTTGGTCTTATCTTAATATATGCATTCTGTAGCTGCACAGTTTCTCTTGTTTTATTGTATGTTACAGTTGTAGGTGCAGCATTTCATGTGTGCATTTCTTTTATGAATAATGGGAACTTTTTTATTGTCTGCAACACATAACGTGTATTATAGCCTTGTTATACTGCTGGACGTCAATGTCTACACAGGATTCCCACTGAAATATTACAAATGAGAAGCTTTACATAAAGAATTGTACAACTTTTATTGCTAAATTGTTCCTGGAAATGACTGTCATATAGAAATGTTTGGAAGAACAATCTTTATACATTTTAACATTTTGCAAAATGTGGAAAAATGATGTCAAAGTCTTGTCTCCTGAGAAGATGTATATTATAGACTTCCCTCATCTCTAATTCATGGAGGAATAACCTGAATATATAGAGTGGTGGTTTGTATCAGTACCACCATCCAAACCTTTTAGCATGAAATTAAAAGAAAGAGGTCTGCAACCTTGACACTGTGCAGGAACTCATAGGCCGCAGTGACATAGTGACATTTTACATTAGGGTCACAGTCCGAATCCTCCATTTTCACTTCTCGACTCAGTTCATCCTCTTTGCAGTGCTGCATCACTGATCTTCCTCCTCTCTTTCCATATCTGTGCAGCCCAAGCTGTTGAGGCCGACACTACTGCCTGGCGAGGAGCTGGTGATGGACGCCATGCGGGTCCATCTGATCCCAGATGGTCGCGAGGAGGCCACGGGGCTGATGGGAGGTCCCCCTTTGCTCCCTGCTGAGGGCGCCATCTTCCTCACCAACTACCGGCTCATCTTCAAGGGCACGCCCTCTGACCCTCTGGGTGAGAGATGATACACACACACACAACTTAGCTTCTGCCTGTTCCCATAACTTCTGTGGGTCCTCTAAACCCTTCTCTTTGTCTGCCTCCTGAAGTGGGTGAGCAGGTGGTGACTCGCTCATTCCCCATCGCCTCTCTGACCAAGGAGAAGAGGATCTCTGTCACTTTACCCATGGACCAGTTTGTCCAGGAGGGGCTACAGCTTCGGTCCTGCACCTTCCAGGTACTCTTAAATTCTCAACTCCTATCACAAATATCCCCCTCCTCCTACTCTTCTCTTTACTCAGAGTTCTTTTCCTCTGAGCTCACCGTTTCTCCGTCTGCCTGTAGCTGATGAAGATTGCGTTTGACGAGGAGGTGGCATCAGACCTGGCGGAGGTTTTCAGGAAGCACATGCACAAGCTGCGCTACCCTCAGCACGTGCAGGGTACCTTCGCCTTCACCGTGGGTCAGTGTGGGAAGATGGTGGTGGAGCACAAGACCAAGGACAAGAACCAGTCGCTCAAGTAAGGATTCATCTGTGTAGAATGAATGTGCACAAAATGGTTTCATGCAAAACAAACACCAGCATGATGTTAAAACTAACCTTCCTGTGGGTCAAGCACAGAGCGTTCATTACAGTGCACTAACTCACCAGGTGACACAGATGAGGCTTCACATCTGTAACAGCTTTTTTTTTTTTTTTACAGTCGTCCCATCTGTTGCTCTCATGTCATGTTTGCCCTTTTTACCAAGTTATTGATTTACACCTCTCACCCCATATTTCATCAGGTTAAACGAGTCACAGTGTACTGTTTAAACAAGCCCTGGCTTTACCTCACCAGTGTGTTTGGAGCTGTTTTACATGGCGCGGCTCACTTTTCTTTCTAGTGAACTCTGGTGCAGTTCATTAGGGAAAATAAATTGGAGCAACTGCATTACACAAACATAAATGACATAAACATGAATAAAAATACAGCTGTTATTAGGGTTCTCACTCTTTTTAAGTTCTCTTGACAATAAAGGACAGCACTTGCTGTCATATAATTTACCGGTAGGCCTCGTTTTGTCTCACGTGGCTGTCCATTTCAGCTCAGCAGATTTGTCTGCTGCTGTCTCGGGCGAATTGACTAGTTTACTACAGTTTTCCTTTAACTGTAACATCGATGATTTGATGAAAGAACGCTACATCAGTTCCACTCCCTGTCTGGTAAACCAGAGTATCACAAGTATCACAGCGTGCAGCTCATCCTACCAAGAGTTGAGTTTCAAAGAATATACGTGCCAGGCCATCTGAGTGAGGGGCTGAAATACATTCCAGGATATCATAGATTATTTCCAGGATATTTGGTCATTTTAATCAATTTCTAGCTGTTTCAATAACTGGAAAACTAATTTTCCAGGTTGTCTAGGGCGTAGGAACCCAGTGGTATGTGTTTAAGGGCTTTTGGGTCTTTCAGATTAAGAGGGGCTTTCTAAAATAAAATATATATATATACATATAGATGTTTGCATTGCTATAGGCAGGATACAGGAAGTATTTTGTTAGATAAATGCGTTTGTGGTCTCGCTGTCTTCCACTAGTTAAGCGAGCAGCGTTACCTCTGTGTTATTATTGTCAGTGTTTCGCCAGAGTATATGGTAAAGCTGATATATACACACACATCTCTAACCAAGGATAGCCATGTGATTATTAACTCAAAAAAACACTAACTGAAAAATGAGCATGTTTTTACTCTGTTGGGAAAATGAGTACAACTATTAAAAGGTAACAGATAACACACTGTTGGAGGATCACATTGATGTGCAATTTGTGCAAATGTAATTAATCTGACTGCTAGCAATTTAACTTTGGACGCCAATGCCGTCTACCATTACCGGTGTTGATGATATGATATGTGGTCTCTGTCTGCCTGAATCCATGTAAATGCAGCACAACCGACACTAGCAGTGCTTTGAGGCTCATTGAAGTGCATAGGATTGAGATTGAGATATTTAAAAAGATAAAAGAATTCCCTAAAGAGTACCAAAAAAATCTGTCTGCAGCTATCAGATTCTTAGCTGACATTACTGCAAACCTGCATGAGTACATGTCAGTTGTAAACAAAACTGGGCTCCTTGTGTTACTGCAGGACTGACTGCACCTTAAGACACAGGATCAGGAGTTGCCTTTCTTCTAAAGCGTTGCATGTTATGTGACTCATGTGCATGCATGTATAGTCACCTCTGTCACGACGCGGTGCATTTAGCCTTCAGTGTGAGACCATGCTCTCAGGTCTGCAGAGTGTGTGTGTGGAAAGCAGCTTTTAATTCCCACTGGCTGCATCTTGTCACATTTCCCTCTGAGCTCCGTGGGAAGCTTTGTGTCATTTATTTTCACTGTCGTCTTCTGGTGTCCCATTCTGCTCTAACTGCTGCCGAAGATTGCTATAATCTCATCCTGCTGTTTCCCTTTTGGTTTTTAATTATTACTGGAGTCAAAGCGACCTCAGTAGTAACTTCATATCAGAATCAGAATCAGAAT